AAGAGCTGTTTCGTTGGTTAATGTTAGTAAGTGATCTCTTCCTTCTTGTTTTTATCTCAGAAAATTTGACATTACTCTTCAGTAAGCGACGTCTGTCGAACTCTAAAACTCTATAGCGCTGATTAAGAGAATAAAAAAAAGGAAGGTGCAGCTTAAGCCTTAATACTGGTTTCCATTGAACAACTGCTGACTTGTGCATGCCATTAACCCAGTTTCGCAGACAAGGACGTCTTTGGTAATTTGTCTGTTTTCTAAAAGAAATCGAATTTGAGTTCTTCGACTAAAATTAAATATTTTACGTCCTCATATATCAGTGTAATCCTAGAATTGATTGGAAAGTACGAACAGTACGAAATTAAATATTTTACGTCCTCATATATCAGTGTAATCCTAAAATTGATTGGAAAGTACGAACAGTACGAAATTAAATATTTTACGTCCTCATATATCAGTGTAATCCTAAAATTGATTGGAAAGTACGAACAGTACAAAATTAAATATTTTACGTCCTCATATATCAGTGTAATCCTAAAATTGATTGGAAAGTACGAACAGTAACCCTAAATTTAGAGTGGAGAGTTCGAGCTGTTCTGCCTAAAATAGAGTGTGGAAGTTCGAATTATAACTCTAAAAATGATGGGTAGGTCGAGCTGTAACTCTGAAAATAGAGTGGAGAGTTCGAGCTGTAACTAAAAATAGTATGAAGTTGGAGCTATACTCTTAAAAACAAAGTCGATAGTTCGAGATATAGCTGAAAAGAGTAGGAAGATCGAGCTGTAACTCTAAAAATAATGGAAGGTCGAGCTGTAACTCTGAAAATAGTGTGGACAACTAACTAAAAATAATAGGAATATCGAGCTGTAACTCTAAAAATAATGGAAGGTCGAGCTGTATCTCTGAAAATAGTGTGGACAACTAACTAAAAATAATAGGAATATCGAGCTGAACTAAAAATATTAGGCAGGTCGAGCTGTATCTCTGAAAATAGAGTGGAAAGTTCGAGCTGTAACTCTAAAAACAGTGGAAAGGTCGAGTTATAACTAAAAATAGTGGGCATGTCTAGCTGTGAGTTTAAAAATAGTGAGAAGGTCAAGCTGTATTTCTGGAAATGGAGTGGAGTAGGAGTTGTAACTCTATAAATAGTGGACAGGTCGAGAGGTAACTAAAAATAGTGGGAAGGTCGAGCTGTAATTCTAAAAATATTAGGCAGGTCGAGCTGTATCTCTGGAAATAGAGTGGAAAGTTCGAGCTGTAACTCTATAAATAGTGGACTGGTCGAGTTATAACTAAAAATAGTGGGAAGGTCGAGAATAACTAAAAATAGTGGGAAGGTCGAGCTGTAACTCTAAAAATATTAGGCAGGTCGAGCTGTATCTCTGGAAATAGAGTGGGAAGGTCGAGCTGTAACTCTAAAAATAGTGGACAGGTCGAGAATAACTAAAAATAGTGGGAAGGTCGAGCTGTAACTCTAAAAATAGTGGGCAGGTCGAGATGTGATTCTAAAAATAGTGGGCATGTCGATATGTAGCCTTTGAAATAAAATAAAAATAGCGATATAGAAATGAAACAAAAATACAGCGGGAAGTTTGATTCAAAAAAGTTAATATTTTCCCAATGGATCAGAAGAAGGCTTATTTATTTAAAGTGAACGTTATGTGATAGGACCGCTCGATTAACTGAAACACTAAATACCACATACATTTCACTTATAACACTTAAAACTCAAGTTTAGTTTTAGGTTTTGTCAGTTGTTAAATCAATGACCTTTCTTGTACCTTGACTGAATATGAAGTTGGCCAGGTAGAGGTCAAGTTCTCGGACGGACACGTTACTGTGGAACGGGTTGACACAAAGGCTAGGATGGAGACACTCTGGCGACTTCTCCAGCCGCTCTCCATCCGTGCTTTCCAGAGGAATAGCTTTGAAGAGGATAACCATCACCAAATCCAGCCGCCACACCTGTAGAACAAAGAGTTTTGTCACAAAAATAGAACTGATTGTTTTCTTATAACAGTGGATAGAATCTAGGTAAACTATATAACGAAGAATATCGTGAAACACCAACTCATACGTGCGACTAAGACTACTAATGTTTCAAATGAGTGTTTACGAAATATCAACGTTGTCTAGCGTGTTTCGTAAGTACCAGCGGCCTGTTTTGGAATTCGCGTGTTTCATTAGTGTCAGCGTCCTGTTTTGGAATTCGCGTGTTTCGTAAGTATCAGCGGTCTGTTTTGGAACTCGCGTGTTTCGTAAATAACAACATTGTGTGTTGGAACTCGCGTGTTTCGTAAATAACAACATTGTGTGTTGGAACTCGCGTGTTTCGTAAGTAATAACGTTGCGTTTTGGAATTCGCGTGTTTCGTAAGTAACAACGTTGTGTGTTGGAATCCACGTGTTTCTTAAGTAACAACGTTGTGTGTTGGAATTCGCGTGTTTCGTAAGTAATAACGTTGTGTGTGTTAGAATTCGCGTGTTTCGTAAGTAACAATGTTGTGTGTTGGAATTCGTGTGTTTCGTAAGTAATAACGTTGCGTTTTGGAATTCACGTGTTTCGTAAGTAACAACGTTGTGTGTTGGAATCCACGTGTTTCTTAAGTAACAACGTTGTGTGTTGGAATTCGCGTGTTTCGTAAGTAATAACGTTGTATGTGTTGGAATTCGCGTGTTTCGTAAGTAATAACGTTGAGTGTGTTGGAATTCGCGTGTTTCGTAAGTAACAACGTTGTTTGATTTGGAATTCGCGTGTTTCGTAAGTAATAACGTTGAGTGTGTTGGAATTCGCGTGTTTCGTAAGTAACAACGTTGTATGTGTTGGAATTCGCGTGTTTCGTAAGT